TTTATTTTTATTTTTTATGTTTTGTATATTAGCTCTGTAATGTTCTGGAAAATGGGGTAAATTAAAAGGGTTTTAAAAGTCAAAGTCTCTCTCTCTCTCTCTCTCTCTCTCTCTCTCTCTCTCTCTCTCACACACACACACTCTCTCTCACACACTCACTCACACACACTCTCTCACACACTCTCTCTCTCAGGCTTCGGTCTGGCGTTTAACCTGCAGCCGGCGCTGACGATGATCGGCCGCTACTTCTACAAGAAGCGTCCGATCGCGAACGGCCTGGCGATGGCGGGCAGCCCGGTGTTCCTCAGCACGCTGGCGCCGCTGAACCAGTACCTGATCAACGAGTACGGCTGGCGCGGCAGCTTCCTGATCCTGGGCGGGCTGATGCTGAACTGCTGCGTGGCCGGAGCGCTCATGAGGCCCCTGGTGGGGCCGGCGGCCCCGAGCCAGCCCGTCCCGCAGAAGCCGGCGTCCCGGGAGAAGCTCACGGCCTGGGAGACCGTCAACAAGTACCTGGACCTCTCGCTCTTCAAACACCGGGGCTTCCTCATATACCTGTCGGGGAACGTCATCATGTTCCTGGGCTTCTTCGCGCCCATCGTCTTCCTCTCGTCCTACGCTAAAGGTGGGTGTGCTTTAATTCAATTTAATTCAATTCCTCTGTATGTATTATACAATGAAGTTAATTAGCAAAGCTTACGGTGCCGGTGCATCCACACATGACAACACAACCACAATAATTAAGACACCATTAATGTAACCCTACGACACAGACACTTGACACTTTCATGCAAAGATATTGCAGATAGTGAGCGTGACTGTAATTATGATTAGTGCAATTAACTCCGATATTACCCGAACACTTTCTCCCAGGAGCGTTTCTCCCCAGACCTGTCGCTGTCTAAAGTATCGTGAAGATTAGGCGGATTGATCCGGTGACGCAGGACTGCGCGCGGCTTCCCAGTTCCCGCTGGATTTCATCCTCTGAGTTTGAGCGTAATAAAGCCTGAACCTCGTCGTCGGTCCATCGGCCGTACTTTGTAAACTCCATTGTTGATGTGAACAGCACAGAGCCGTTCCCGCACGCACCGCGACAGATCAAGTGCTGCGGGGAGTCAGCCAATCAAAATGCGGCATGAACTCGAGCAATCAGCATGTTCAGCGCACAAGCCCCGCCCCCGACAGCTCCTGAACCTTGAACAGTAGTGCCTCGCGAGCAGGACTTCCTGAGCGGGAGATATTCACCGGATCTTCATTAGTGCTGCGTTTACACGGCCGGTTATTTTCATAAACGGACATTTCACTCTCTCCGTTTTCAGAAATAACGTCGTGCACACCTGTCAGTTTCAGACACGAACCCGTGTGTGTATGCCGCCACGAGCCTGTTAAACCTGTAGGTGGCAGTGTAACAAGCTCAAGCCCACGCTAGCCAATCGAACGAATCGATTCGCAAGGTCGCACTTTGGACGCAGGTGCAGGGTCTGTCGCGTACTGTGACGTCGGCTGGCTAAAACGCCGTATTCTCAGTTTACATGCAAACAAAGTTTTCCAAAATCTCCTCTCTCGCCGGAGTTTTTAGAAAGAATCGTTTTCAGAGGCGAATTCTCCGTTTGCGTGTAAACGAAGGGCACAAACGAAGGAAAATGTCTCTCTTTTTCAAAATAACCATGTACCTGTGGTGGAAACACACTGAGGCCCAGCCCAAAGCATGATCACATGAACACATGAACACATGAACACATGATCACATGATCACATGATCACATGAACACATGATCACATGAACACATGAACACATGATCACATGAACACATGATCACATGAACTATGAACACATGAACACATGATCACATGAACACATGATCACATGATCACATGAACACATGATCAAATGAACACATGATCACATGAACACATGATCACATGAACACATGAACACATGAACACATGAACACATGAACACATGATCACATGAACACATGATCACATGAACACATGAACACATGAACACATGAACACATGATCACATGAACACATGAACACATGATCACATGAACACATGATCACATGAACACATGATCACATGAACACATGAACACATGAACACATGATCACATGAACACATGATCACATGATCACATGAACACATTAACACATGAACACATGAACACATGATCACGATAATCAAGCGGCCCCTTTAAGTGTGTATATCTAGGATTTGTACTTAGATGTCAGTTTGTGGCTGTTTTTAAATGTGCTTTCTAAATGAATTAAACTTCAAGACAACGGCGTGGACGAGTACCAAGCGGCGTTCCTGCTGTCCATCCTGGCCTTCGTGGACATGTTCGCGCGGCCGTCGATGGGTCTGCTGGCCAACTCCCGCTGGGTGCGGCCCCGGATCCAGTACTTCTTCAGCTTCGCGGTGCTGTATAACGGGGTGTGTCACCTGCTGTGCCCGCTGGTCCAGAGCTACACCGGGATGGTGGTGTACGCCGTGTTCTTCGGCTTCGCCTTCGGGATGGTGAGCGCGGTTCTGTTCGAGACGCTGATGGACCTGGTGGGGCCGCAGAGGTTCTCCAGCGCCGTGGGTCTGACCACCATCGTGGAGTGCTGTCCGGTGCTCATCGGGCCGCCGCTGGCAGGTGAGGGCGCACCAGAGTCACACAACGTACAGTCCAGCTGAAACCATCATGTTATCCCGCAAACTCCAAAATTTAAATGCGTTTTCCTTGACAAAATGTCTTCATGCCTTACAATAGCTTGAATGTAACTCGACACCCTTGCCTCATTTAGCATACGCGGTTCTATGAATATGCAAATGAGCCCCGCCTCCAGTCACTCACTCAGCTCAGAGACTCAAACTCTTATCTTTGATCAACAGAATTACATATTTAAAGGGAGAATTCACCCAAAAATGAACATTAGCCCATGATTTACTCTCCCTCAAGCCACCCTAGGTGTACACGACACTCTTCTCTCAGACGAACACAATCAGAGTTATTATTAAAAAATGTCCTGGCTCTTCCAAGCTTTATAATGGCAGTGAATGAGTGTTTCTGTTTTGAAGTCCATAAAATTGCCTCTAATCATAAAAGTTCATCTATGAATCATAAAAGTGCATCCGTCCATCATAAAAGTGGATAGATGCACTTTTATGATGGATAGATGCACTTTTATGATGGACAGATGCACTTTTATGATGGATAGATGCACTTTTATAATGGATAGATGCATTTTTATGATGGATAGATGCACTTTTATAATGGATAGATGCACTTTTATGATGGATAGATGCACTTTTATGATGGACAGATGCACTTTTATGATGGATAGATGCACTTTTATAATGGATAGATGCATTTTTATGATGGATAGATGCACTTTTATAATGGATAGATGCACTTTTATGATGCACAGATGCACTTTTATGATGGATAGATGCATTTTTATAATGGATAGATGCACTTTTATGATGGACAGATGCACTTTTATGATGGATAGATGCACTTTTATGATGGATAGATGCACTTTTATGATGGATAGATGCACTTTTATGATGGACAGATGCACTTTTATGATGGATAGATGCACTTTTATAATGGATAGATGCACTTTTATGATGCACAGATGCACTTTTATGATGGATAGATGCATTTTTATAATGGATAGATGCACTTTTATAATGGATAGATGCACTTTTATGATGGATAGATGCACTTTTATAATGGATAGATGCACTTTTATGATGCACAGATGCACTTTTATGATGGATAGATGCATTTTTATGATGGATAGATGCACTTTTATGATGGATAGATGCACTTTTATGATGGACAGATGCACTTTTATGATGGATAGATGCACTTTTATGATGGATAGATGCACTTTTATGATGGACAGATGCACTTTTATGATGAATAGATGCACTTTTATGATGGATAGATGCACTTTTATGATGGACAGATGCACTTTTATGATGGACAGATGCACTTTTATGATGGACAGATGCACTTTTATGATGGATAGATGCACTTTTATGATGGATAGATGCACTTTTATGATGGACAGATGCATTTTTTTGATGGACAGATGCACTTTTATCATGGATAGATGCACTTTTATGATGGATAGATGCATTTTTATGATGGATAGATGCACTTTTATGATGGATAGATGCACTTTTATGATGGACAGATGCACTTTTATGATGGATAGATGCACTTTTATGATGGATAGATGCACTTTTATGATGGACAGATGCACTTTTATGATGAATAGATGCACTTTTATGATGGATAGATGCACTTTTATGATGGACAGATGCACTTTTATGATGGACAGATGCACTTTTATGATGGACAGATGCACTTTTATGATGGATAGATGCACTTTTATGATGGGTAGATGCACTTTTATCATGTATAGATGCACTTTTATGATGGATAGATGCACTTTTATCATGGACAGATGCACTTTTATGATGGATAGATGCACTTTTATGATGGATAGATGCACTTTTATCATGGACAGATGCACTTTTATGATGGACAGATGCACTTTTATGATGGATAGATGCACTTTTATGATGGATAGATGCACTTTTATGATGGACAGATGCACTTTTATGATGGATAGATGCACTTTTATGATGGATAGATGCCCTTTTATGATGGACAGATGCACTTTTATGATGGATAGATGCACTTTTATGATGGATAGATGCACTTTTATGATGGATAGATGCACTTTTATGATGGATAGATGCACTTTTATGATGGATAGATGCACTTTTATGATGGACAGATGCACTTTTATGATGGATAGATGCACTTTTATGATGGATAGATGCACTTTTATGATGGATAGATGCACTTTTATGATGGATAGATGCACTTTTATGATGGATAGATGCACTTTTATGATGGACAGATGCACTTTTATGATGGACAGATGCACTTTTATGATGGATAGATGCACTTTTATGATGGATAGATGCACTTTTATGATGGATAGATGCACTTTTATGATGGACAGATGCACTTTTATGATGCACAGATGCACTTTTATGATGGATAGATGCACTTTTATGATGGATAGATGCACTTTTATGATGGATAGATGCACTTTTATGATGGATAGATGCACTTTTATGATGGACAGATGCACTTTTATGATGGATAGATTCACTTTTATGATGGACAGATGCACTTTTATGATGGACAGATGCACTTTTATGATGGATAGATGCACTTTTATGATGGACAGATGCACTTTTATCATGGACAGATGCACTTTTATGATGGATAGATGCACTTTTATGATGGATAGATGCACTTTTATGATGGACAGATGCACTTTTATGATGGATAGATTCACTTTTATGATGGACAGATGCACTTTTATGATGGACAGATGCACTTTTATGATGGATAGATGCACTTTTATGATGGACAGATGCACTTTTATGATGGACAGATGCACTTTTATGATGGACAGATGCACTTTTATGATGGATAGATGCACTTTTATGATGGATAGATGCACTTTTATGATGGACAGATGCACTTTTATGATGGATAGATTCACTTTTATGATGGACAGATGCACTTTTATGATGGACAGATGCACTTTTATGATGGACAGATGCACTTTTATGATGGACAGATGCACTTTTACCATGGACAGATGCACTTTTATGATGGACAGATGCACTTTTATCATGGATAGATGCACTTTTATGATGGACAGATGCACTTTTATGATGGATAGATGCACTTTTATGATGGATAGATGCACTTTTATGATGGACAGATGCACTTTTATCATGGATAGATGCACTTTTATGATGGACAGATGCACTTTTATGATGGACAGACGCACTTTTATGATGGACAGATGCACTTTTATGATGGATAGATGCACTTTTATGATGGACAGATGCACTTTTATGATGGATAGATGCACTTTTATGATGGATAGATGCACTTTTATGATGGATAGATGCACTTTTATGATGGACAGATGCACTTTTATGATGGATAGATGCACTTTTATGATGGACAGATGCACTTTTATGATGGACAGATGCACTTTTATGATGGATAGATGCACTTTTATGATGGACAGATGCACTTTTATGATGGACAGATGCACAGATGCACTTTTATGATGGACAGATGCACTTTTATGATGGACAGATGCACTTTTATGATGGATAGATGCACTTTTATGATGGACAGATGCACAGATGCACTTTTATGATGGATAGATGCACTTTTATGATGGACAGATGCACTTTTATGATGGACAGATGCACTTTTATGATGGATAGATGCACTTTTATGATGGACAGATGCACTTTTATGATGGACAGATGCACTTTTATGATGGATAGATGCACTTTTATGATGGACAGATGCACTTTTATGATGGACAGATGCACTTTTATGATGGATAGATGCACTTTTATGATGGACAGATGCACTTTTATGATGGATAGATGCACTTTTATCATGGATAGATGCACTTTTATGATGCACAGATGCACTTTTATGATGGATAGATGCACTTTTATGATGGATAGATGCACTTTTATGATGGACAGATGCACTTTTATGATGGATAGATGCACTTTTATGATGGACAGATGCACTTTTATGATGGATAGATGCACTTTTATGATGGATAGATGCACTTTTATGATGGATAGATGCACTTTTATGATGGATAGATGCACTTTTATGATGGATAGATGCACTTTTATGATGGACAGATGCACAGATGCACTTTTATGATGGACAGATGCACTTTTATGATGGATAGATGCACTTTTATGATGGATAGATGCATTTTTATGATGGATAGATGCACTTTTATGATGGACAGATGCACTTTTATGATGGATAGATGCACTTTTATGATGGATAGATGCACTTTTATGATGGACAGATGCACTTTTATGATGGATAGATGCACTTTTATGATGGACAGATGCACTTTTATGATGGACAGATGCACTTTTATGATGGATAGATGCACTTTTATGATGGACAGATGCACTTTTATGATGGACAGATGCACTTTTATGATGGACAGATGCACTTTTATGATGGATAGATGCACTTTTATGATGGATAGATGCACTTTTATGATGGACAGATGCACTTTTATGATGGATAGATGCACTTTTATGATGGATAGATGCACTTTTATGATGGATAGATGCACTTTTATGATGGACAGATGCACTTTTATGATGGATAGATTCACTTTTATGATGGACAGATGGACTTTTATGATGGACAGATGCACTTTTATGATGGATAGATGCACTTTTATGATGGACAGATGCACTTTTATGATGGATAGATTCACTTTTATGATGGACAGATGCACTTTTACCATGGACAGATGCACTTTTATGATGGATAGATGCACTTTTATGATGGACAGATGCACTTTTATGATGGACAGATGCACTTTTATCATGGATAGATGCACTTTTATGATGGACAGATGCACTTTTATGATGGATAGATGCACTTTTATGATGGATAGATGCACTTTTATGATGGACAGATGCACTTTTATCATGGATAGATGCACTTTTATGATGGACAGATGCACTTTTATCATGGATAGATGCACTTTTATGATGGACAGATGCACTTTTATCATGGATAGATGCACTTTTATGATGGACAGATGCACTTTTATGATGGATAGATGCACTTTTATGATGGACAGATGCACTTTTATGATGGACAGATGCACTTTTATGATGGATAGATGCACTTTTATGATGGACAGATGCACTTTTACGATGGATAGATGCACTTTTATGATGGATAGATGCACTTTTATGATGGACAGATGCACTTTTATGATGGATAGATGCACTTTTATGATGGATAGATGCACTTTTATGATGGACAGATGCACTTTTATGATGGACAGATGCACTTTTATGATGGATAGATGCACTTTTATGATGGATAGATGCACTTTTATGATGGATAGATGCACTTTTATGATGGATAGATGCACTTTTATGATGGATAGATCCACTTTTATGATGGACAGATGCACTTTTATGATGGACAGATGCACTTTTATGATGGACAGATGCACTTTTATGATGGACAGATGCACTTTTATGATGGACAGATGCACTTTTATGATGGACAGATGCACTTTTATGATGGACAGATGCACTTTTATGATGGATAGATGCACTTTTATTATGGATAGATGCACTTTTATGATGGATAGATGCACTTTTATGATGGATAGATCCACTTTTATGATGGACAGATGCACTTTTATGATGGATAGATGCACTTTTATGATGGACAGATGCACTTTTATGATAGAAAAAAACGTTTAAATATGTAATTTTGGTGATCAGAGATGAGTTTTAAGGGATAAAATGATTGACGACGGGGGTAAATTACACATACTGAAAATAATAACTGCGCGGCCATGTTTGCTCTGCAGGGAAGCTAGTGGACATCACTAAGAACTACAAGTACATGTACCTGTGCTGTGGAGCGGTGGTGGTGTTCTCCAGCATCTGGCTCTTCATCGGGAACTTCATCAACTACCGTCTGCTGGATCGCGAGCGCAAGCGCGAGGAGACGTACCAGCGGGCCGCGCAGCACGACGCAGACGCTAACGCAGACGCTAGCGCTACGCAGGAGCTCAGCGAGAGTAAAGACGCCGTCATGCAGTGCGAAACCAACATCTGAACGTCTATGCAAACACTGGGAGACACTGCCAGAGTCGATCCGCACGGCCAGGCTTCAGCGAGCACTTCTACATCGACAGGCTCAGGGTCAGCGCGTCAGAACAGTGTGTGTTCAGTGCACACACACACACACACACAGGTGTATAAAGCAATCTGATCTGCTACTGAATGTAAATCTGATGCTTTAGAGCTTTATGAATCTGTTCCTGAGGATTATTACTGATCATTACTACCAAATCTAGAAGCAATATGATTTACACCAGACGTCCTCAGGGGAAACGCTAGTTCGTTCTGTTTTGGGTTCTTTTTTACACACACACACACACACACACACACACACACATACATACGGACGGTTTAATGTGATTCAGTTTCACCATAAACACTTTTTAACCTATGATGTATTGCCTTAAGTATAGAGTAAGCATCTATTATTCTACTATGAACTGTATTGTTTAATGTATTTGCTGATGTAAATCCACAAGATGCTGTATAATTTACTGTATGAAATGCATCTCGTAGCTCTGCTTTTCTTTAACGCCCGTTAATGGAATTAATTCAACAATTCACATCTATTTTAAGACTGTAAGACAAGCTTTCGTTGTCTTCTGTCTATGAGCACCAGAAGTATTAATAATTATCATTAAATTATTATCTTAACTGTAGTACAACGTATGCATTGTTATAATGCCAGAATTGAGATGTTGTGCTATTTTTAGCATGTAAAAACTAATGACATTTATTTAATGATGTGGTTATTATATGCATCATTTTGTTTTGTATCATTTTTGCTTTTTTTATCATTTGTTGTTATGATTGTCGAGAAATAGACCAAACTGCCACTAAAAACATTCACACGCACATATACATGCTGTTATGATTATTATTTTGTATTATTAACTTCATGCTTTTTTTTTGTAATTGTTAAAATTAGCCAACAAATGTAATCAGTTTAACTGGATCTTTAACCTCTTATGACATGTTGTGACTATTCACTTTTGTTCATAATTCTGGATGTGCTGATATTTGAAATTAAACCACATTTGGAAGATGCCTTGAGATCTATAACTCAACCGAACACCCATCAATACAAATTTAATGAGTCTAATTTCATCCTCTCCATGAACACGCAGCTAAAAGTCACAATATTCTTTCATATTTTGCATATATTATCATATATCATCGTCATGTCGATTTTGAATCCACCGCAGAATGAAGCTCTGCGCGAAAACACAGTGGAGTGAATCAAGTGTTGAACGAATCGGTTGACTCAATGATTCAAATGACTCACTCGTTTGTCGTAATGACGTAAGCTGCAGAAAGAGTCACGTGGGTGCTTTACCTTATAAGAAATAATGGTTAATTTATTATTATAGTAAATAGGTCAAGAAAATACCACTATAACTAATTGTCTTTACATAATTATACTCTCGCGTTACCTGAATCTGAATGCACCTAATAATTAAGCGTTCTTGTGATTTTAGAGACAAAATATTGAAGCCCATTTCTGACACTAAAAGAAAAAAAAAAAATCATGCTTTGGAGAAACGTAATTATGCCAGCCTATGTAGTCATAGTTATGATATAAAAAGTCGAAATTATGACATAGGAAGGTAAAATTGACGTTTCATCTCATGATTATAACTATCAATTTCGATTTAGTATGTCATAGTTTTTAATACTCATAATTATGACTTTAGTATGCCATACCTATTAAAACTGCACTATATAGCTTTTGGCGCTCTAGCGGTTAATAAACAAACTGCATGCGTCTTGCGGAGGGCCATTGTAGCCGGATCTACTTCCCTCTGTTAATGACGCGTCACGCAGGTACTGTGCTCCTCCGCAGCGCTTGGTGTCACACTCGGTCTAAAAGAGTCCAAATATAAACACTTATTTAGTTGTACCGTAGTGATTCATGATAAGCCAAAAAAAAAACGGTTTGTAAGATGGATTTATGATGTACTCGTTCATTTTATAAATGTAAATTTTAAATAAAAGGTTACATAGTGTAGCCTTAACAGCTATATCATAATTCCAGCTTTTATGGCATAATGATAACTTTATATGTGATCATTATGATTTACGGGCTTCCATAATAATGTGTCATGTTCACAAGTGATTGACAAACAGCAGATCTGATTCTTAAATATGTTAACTTAACATGCATGTCGATTCAACAGTAAACTCAGGGGTTGAGCAGGAGTGCGTGTAGTTCCCGTCAGTGGCCAGCAGGAGTGTAGTTCCCGTCAGTGGCCAGCAGGAGTGTAGTTCCCGTCAGTGGCCAGCAGGAGTGTAGTTCCCGTCAGTGGCCAGCAGGAGTGCAGTTCCCGTCAGTGGCCAGCAGGGGGCGCTGCTCCGCTTCACTACAGAGGCGCGCACACAATACACGCTTTTACAGGAAGCTCTCTCAATTCATTCAATTCAATAAAAAAAATGTCTTTATTGGCATGACTGTAAATAATACAACATTGCCAAAGCTTGGAATACATAGAATAATAATAAAAAACATAAAATAATAGAAAAATTAAATATAATAACATAACTTTATTTCAGAGCATTGTTTCCCGCAGAGAGAGAGAGAGAGAGACAATCAGTTTTGAGCGGTTTTAAAGATTTTAATTGTCATTATACAGGGTGATTCAATGTAATGCCTTGAAAAACACTAAACACTGTGTCCCACATCACCTACTTATACTACGCCCTAAAAGTAGGCCTATGTAGTTTTGTGAAATAAATAAATAAATAAAAAGTAGGCCTACATAATTTTGCGTTTTGGACAAACAAACTACTTTACCATAATTCTGTCTTCAACGGACCACGTGGGTCTTTCATGACCAAAACGGATCATTATAAAGGTTCACAATGCTGTATCAGATGAAATATAATGAACACAGAATACATGTATTTTCGTTAGTTTAGATACTGTGTATTAATCAATCAAACCCTTTACCGAAACCGTCGCTCTTGCACACCCGCTATGTTTGTAGTTTTTTAAAAACACTTTTTATTCGTGTTTGTAGTTCTAATCGAATCCTCGTTAAACGCGCGGGTAATATTAGCCGTTAGAGCCGTTTTTAAATGTTTCTTGTTTCAGAACGTTCAGATTCAAATGTAACGTTCCATAATGTTTGAAGAATGATACAGTGTCACTGTTCACTTAACCAAGAAGAAACGCTTTCATGAGTTAAAGGAAGGTTATGAATTTGCTGATTTGTGAATGAATATGAATCCTCAAGGATATCGGTGTTTCCTGCAGGAATGAAGGCGATTCTCAGGCGCTTGAATCATGGAAATTGAGGTTGTATTATATAACTGCTTTGCACTTTTTAATATTGCTGACGCTAAAAATCCATAAAGTAGAGCAAAAAAAGCCCGTGTTTATGAGTGATGACAGATTGAGGCGTGTGTAATGATATTCATAGAGGTCTGCAGGACTACAGCCTTATAGTTATGAATTCATAATGATATCGATGCTGTAAGCGCTGCGGCTCGCAGACATGATGCATTTTAAAGTGATCTTAAAAACACTTGAAAGTTTTAACAAAACAATTTTCATCATAAAACAATGAACAAATGCAAAGAATTAATAAATAATTAAAGTCAATGGCAAACAAATTAAGAATTGACGTTTTAGTATAAAATTCACGAGTGAAGAAAAGTCATCTTTATTTTATTTATTTATTTATTATTATTATCCGGTTTTGTCACGTGACACCCTGAACTCAGGGTCATGAAAAGGTCAAATGATCAGGAATGATCTGGTCTAGGCAACAAAATCAGATTTTCAGATATTAATACTGTAAAAGGCGGCCAGAGTTTTGATTGACAGCTGTTCTCAGGATGAAGTGTGTGTGAGTGTGTGTTGATGAGTGTGAAGCTCTTATCAGCTGCGGTTTGTGTGAATCTCACCGACACTCAACACACACACTGTCCTGACAAAGCGAGAGCGACACACACACTGATCTCAGACACTGATAGACGCTCCACACACACACACACACACACACACACACACACACACACACACACTCTTTACACCGCAGTCATATCTGACAGATGAAACTCTCCGGATATTTTAATGACTATTACAAAAGAATAAAGACGCGTGTGTTTGTGTGTTAAATGGAGAATGGTTATTTGTCGGTTCTGCTCTGCACTGAGATTGCGGGTTATTGTGCAGTGTGTGTGTGTGTGTGTGTGTGAAGCTCTGACACTGAACTGAGACGAACGGATGAAGCTTCAGTTTCTAATGCATCTGTTAATATTAGATGAGCTTCAGCTTTTAATGGCTGTTCAGAGATCAGATGCAGAACACACACACACACACACACACACACACACACACACACACTCTCACTCACGCACACACACACACACACTCTCACTCACACACACCCACACACACACCCACTCACACACTCTCACACACACACACACACACTCTCACTCACACACACCCACACACACACACACTCACACACTCTCACACACACACACACACACACACACACACACACACACACACACACACACACACACACACACACACTCTCACTCACACACACCCACACACACACACACTCACACACTCTCACACACACACACACACACACACACACACACACACACACACACACACACACACACACACACACTCTCACTCACGCACACCC